AAGGCAGACATTTAATGTTTTAACATTCACTGTACATAAAGTCTATCCTACTCCATTCCAAAGCAATTAACAGCAAGCCAGAGCTTCAGCTCAGAATGGACTGTGTAATGATCGCAGTCAAATATGATTTCTGTGAAGCTTTTCATATCTCTATTTTTACAAAAATAAAATAATGATCCCATACCTGTGTCATTGACATGTTGACAAAGTGACATCGCACTCAATATACTTACACTTCCATCTTCTTAGGAAATGCCACAAGCCGAGCAAAGGGTTTTCCGATCCCCAGAGGAGTTGTGTCATATCACAAACAATCAACTGCAGATCTACCAGGCTGTTAAATGACATTTAACTGACCTAGCTGATGTCTGCTGCTATTACTTTCTCAGCTAATGTCCGTGTACAGAGTTTTAGCTTTATGTGCAATTGAGCTGAATGTGAACTCAGAGCAGAGCTCAGATGTCTGTGTTTAAGAGTAGAAAAGGGCTAAATCCAGAAGCTTTCAGAAAAAAAAGATAATCTCCTCAATGGGAGAGAAATGACTGATACTGGGCTTTGTCCTATTCAAAGCAAGTATGATTTTTTTACAGAGTAACTTAGACATGTGGGGGGATATTTACTAAAAATGAAGAGTGCAAAATCTGGTGCTACTCTGTATAGAAACTAATCAGCTTCCAGGTTAATTTTCAAAGCTTAAAGCAGAACTCCGGGCAAAAAAACGTCTTTACATGTCCTTATTGCTGATTTCCTACCTTCACTGAATATGTCAACCATCTTCTGGTTCACTCAGTAGTTGCTCTGAAATAGCCTATTCATTTTCATATCAAACTGTTAATTCCCTTTGGTTTCCTGTTTGTAAGACCTATGACAGCTATGCCTCCAATTCCCCTAGCCATTGGTCTTGGCACATCACTTCTGTAGTTCTTTCTCCAGGAAGCAGTGATGTAATTCAGCTCCACCTGTGGTAGGCAGACCAAGACTCTCAGACACATTCAATATGTACAGGCCCAGTGTACCTGCCACATTCACTACTATTCCCTGTGGTTGATGGGAACTGTAGTTTCATTTTACTGCAGAGAGAGAAGAGGATATCAGGTAATCCCTGCTGTTACACCTCCTCCTTGGCAGAGAAGATACTGCCATCTTTTGAAATACATAGATGAGGTTATGAAAATTCAGTTAAACTTTTCTCCTCATTGGTAATGATTTTCAAAATTGTATTAACGTGTTACTAAACCCAGGACCCTGCATCCACTATATCTGGTCTTCCACAGTACACAAAACATGGAAGTACAATTATTTTAGTAGATATAAACTGCTAAATACCTTTTCTCATAAGCAGTTAGAGCAGTCTTGTGACTACAATCAGTGTCCAGCAGAACACTGTTTAAAGCTTGTAGGAGGAGTTTTCATTCTGCTCTATGAGGATGCAGAACCTGTGACCTCTGTCTGGACAGTGATGATTGGCCCTGTGCTGATCACATGGACTCTCCCAAGATAAAAACAAATTCTATAGCAATACACACCAAACTGAGCATGTGCAGAGTGACTCCACACGATATGTCTTATTAGGAGTCAATACCAAAATAACAATTATGCACATCCAAAATTTAATGATCATAGCTATGAGCAACAGTATCCTAAACCACAGAGACCTAGATTAATAAAAAAAAAACCCATATAGACCATTTCAGATCTCAACACAGAATAGATATACACCCCTGTAACATCAAGAACATTAATGCCAAACCCCACCTCCTTTTTTGGGACGGGGAATACAGCAGACACAAGAAGGACCAAGGGGAAGAGGAGAAAGAGAGGGTGCAGAGCAGGGAGAACACAACAGAAAAAAGAAGGGAGTATTAGGAGAAGGGGATCTTTAATCTCAGTGGAGTGGAACTCACTAAGGAAAAAATGCAGGTATTAGATAGGGGATTAAAATTTGCCCCGAAGAAAGGATTAAATTAATTTGATACTTATGTGAGTATACAAAAATGGTAAGGAATTTGAATATTAAAAAATATTATGCACAAAACCCAATAGTTCAGCCAAGGAATAATATGCACATGGAAGAAATCTATACCAACGTAAGAAACAAGTCGATATTTAATCCGATGATTACGGATAATAAATATGTGCATACGTTAAAAAAATTGGTTACGGAAGATTTAGAAAAGCTACGTATTAAAAAGCATTCACATTATATTATAAAAGGTACAGTTGCAAGAAAAAGTATGTGAACCCCTTGGGATTACGTGGAGTTTTGCATGAATTGGACATAAAATGTGCTCTGAACGTCATCTAAGTCACAACAATAGAAGAACACAGTCTGCTGAACATAATACTACACAAACATTAGATGTTGCCATGGTTTAATTGCACATAACATGTAAACATTCACAGTGCAGGGAGGAAAAAGTATGTGAACCTTTGACTTAATAACTGGTTGACCCTCCTTTGGCAGCAATAACCTCAACTAAACGTTTCCTGTAGTTGCAGATCAGACCTGCACAACGATCTGGAGTAATTTTGGACCACTCCTCTTCACAAAACTGTTTCAGTGTAGCAATATTCTTGGGATGTCTGGTGTGAATCGCTCTCTTAAGTTCATGCCACAGCATTTCAATCAGGTTGAGGTCAGGACTCTGACTGGGCCACTCCAGAAGGCGTATTCTGTGCTGTTGCAGCCATTGTTTTGTTGAATTACTTGTATGCTTTGGGTCATTGTCCTGTTGCATCACCCATCCTCTGCGGAGCTTCAGTTGGTGGACAGATGGTCGTACGTTTTCCTGCAAAATGTCTTGATAAACTCTAAATTCATTTTCCCATCAATGACAACAATCAGCCCCAAACCAGCAAACCAGCAAAGCAGCCCCAAACCATGATGCTCCCTCCGGCATGTTTCACAGTGGGGATGAGGTTTTGATGTTGGTGTGCTGTGCCTTTTTTTTTTTCTCCACACATAGTGTTGTGTGTTCTTCCCAAACAACTCAATCTTGGTTTCATCTGTCCACAGTATATTTTGCCAGTAGTGCTGTGGAACATCCAGGTGCTCTTTTGCAAACTTCAAACGTGCTGCAATATTCTTTTTGGACAGCAATGGCTTCCTCTGTGGTGTCCTCCTATGTACTCCATTCTTGTTTAATGTTTTCCTTATTGTAGATGTGTCAACAAAAATGTTAGCATGTGCCAGAGATTTCTGTAGGTCTTTAGCTGACACTCTGGGATTCTTCTTTACCTCATGCAGCATTCTGCGCTGTGCTCTTGCAGTCATTTCTACAGGACGACCACGCCTAGGGAGAGTAGCAACAGTGCTAAAGTTTCTCCATTTGTAGACAGTCTGTCTTACCATGGACACATGAACATCAAGGCTTTTGGAGATACTTATGTAACCCTTTCCAGCTTCATGCAAGTCAACAATTCTTGATCGTAGGTCTTCTGAGAGCTCTTTTCTGCGAGGCATGGTTCACATCAGACAGTGCTTCTTGAAACCAGTAAACCCAAAACAGGTGTGTGTTTTTTAAGGGCAGGACAGTCGTCAGCAACACATCCAATATCATCACACTGATTGGAGTCAAGGTTGGCTCACTCCTGGCTCCAATTAGCCGTGGGAGAAGTCATTAAGCTAGGGCCTCACATGCTTTTTCCTCCCTGCACTGTGAATGTTTACATGTTATGTGCAATTAAACCATGGCAACATCTAATGTTTGTGTAGTATTATGTTCAGCAGACTGTGTTCTTCTATTGTTGTGACTTAGATGACGTTCAGAGCACATTTTATGCCCAATTCATGCAAAACTCCATGTAATCCCAAGGGGTTCACATACTTTTTCTTGCAACTGTATAAAATCCTTGGTACAAAGGAAACATATAGTGATCTGCCCAGCGTATAAGGGGGGGGGGGGGTCGTGGGAATTGTCATATTATCAAAGGAGCAATACTAACAAGAAATGGAAAATGTATTGGGGGACAGAAACACATAGGAAATATTAAGTACAAATCCTACTAAATAGTACAAAAGGGAATTGGGGTAAATTATAAAACATGGGACCAAAAAAAGGAGTATTAAATAAAAAAGAGGAGAAGTATCTATTGCCATCATTATGTAGAAAACCGGTAATTTATAGCGTTCCAAAAATTCATAAGGATGATAAACAACCCCCAGGGAGACCCAATGGGATAGACTTCCTTACCACAAGTTTAAGGGAATGTGTGGACTGTTTTTTGAAGCCACAACGGCATACCTTAAGGACACTAAACATATTATACATTTGTTACAAAGCACAAAGATTACACAGGAAACTATACTTGCAACTGCCGATGTATCATCACTTTATACTAATATTGACCATGACGGGGAGATAGAGGCAGCAAAGTGGGCGTTAAATAAAAATGTAGCATTGTCTACCAGACATAGGAGGTATATCATAAAATGATAGAATTCTTTTTTGAAGTGCAACTATTTCTGGAACCAGGGAAAATATTATTTACAAATATCCGGAGTCTCTATGGACGCAATGTTTGCACCTAGTATAGCTAACTTGTATATGGCAAAATAGGAGGAGGAAATTATTTTTAAAACTAATATGAAGGAATTAACATTATATAGGAGGTTTATTGACAACCTGATTAGATTATGGAAAGGAGAATATAATGAATTCAATGATTTTATGGAACATATAAACAATAATAATAGGAAGATCAGATTAAAACGGGAGATCAGTAGACCCAATATACAATTTTGAGATTTAGAGATAATTAAGGAAAATGAAATTTATACTAGGACATTCTTCAAAAGCACTGATAGGAACTCATATATACAATGGTATTAAATGTAACAGCTGCCATTTTAGGCCTTGGCTTGTGAATATACCACAAGGACAATTTATGCGGATTAAACTCAACTGTACAAGACAGGAAGATTTTGAAATACAGAGCCAGAAATTGCCAGTATGTTTAGAAATAAAAGATACAATGAAGGATTTGTGGAAGATGAAAAAATGAAAATTAGGAATATCAATAGGGAATACCTCATTAGGGGAAAAAATAGAAATAAGAAGCAAATAGAGATGGGTGTGGCTGTGGTGCTTGACAAATCAACACAACACAAATCAGTGGAGCGCATTGTGAGGAAGCATTGGCAGCTATTCAGACAGTATCTACAATCTGTCATCCCAACTCAGCCCAAGTTTATATATAAAAAAGCTCCAACATTACAGGATTTATTGGTAAAAAATGTGATAGACCCCAAATAATAAACCGTTACATTTTTGAAGGCAAAGGATTTTTTGCATGTAGCAGATGCTATAGCTGCAGTAGAGTAAAGGCTAACCCTTAAAGAAGAAAAAAATGTGTAAACTCAGCAACAGGAAAAGAATATGATATAAAAAGATGTTATATCATGCGAAACAAGGGGGGTGGTATATGCCCTAAAATGCCCCTGCATATATTTATGTAGGAAGAACCAAAAGGGCTTTAAAAGAGAGAATAAAAGAACATGTTTATAAAATAAGTAGAGGATATAGAATTCATCATTTATCATATCATTTTAGCACAGTTCACAATAGGGATTACATACAATTACAATTTTGGGGCATATAAAGACATAACAGCCACTGGAGGGGGGAATAACAAGATAAGGGAGCTCAGTACGATAGAATCATTGTGGATCCAGGAATTAAATTATTTGGTGCCGAGAGGCCTGAACAAAGAATTTGACTCAACATGTTTTCTTAATAACTACTAGTTTTGTGCATGACTATTATGACTTTTGGGTATGTGTAATAATTAGCATTTTGAAAGATAATACCATCGGATTATGTTATGCATATATATATGATTTTAATATTTTTAATATGTTAATGCATTTATTATGGCAATAATATGAGATGTGTATGTATAAAATGGAAATGTTTAATTCATAAACCCCAGATATTATTTATAGTTATGATAGACATTATATATACAGTATATATACATTTTTATTATTATTATTATTATCTATTTATTTATTTTTCATTTCATTGTATTTATTTATTTTATTTAGATGGGCACCTTGCAACAAGGTTCCCATTAGGGGGGTATATAACTCTCAATAGATTTATGTAGATTTAACATAAGGGAGGGTACATAATAAATGTTGCTTGGGATCGCTCTTTGGAGGATTGCTTTTTGGGGACATACTATGGTGGGTGGGTGATTTCCTGTGCCACCACATGGGAGCTCTCGGCACTGATGTCGACAGGGAGATTGTGTGTTGCAGTAGATGCACACAATGTCATAAAATGTAGGGGATATAAATAGTAGGGATTAACCTGTTAGAATAATTTAAGTTATTGTTGTAATAGTTTTGAGGCAGTAGTAAAATGTATAAAGGATAGATGGTTATCTAGAGTGGCGGAGATGACCATAAGAAAATGGTGACAGCATTATTATTACACTCAGAAATATGGGCTGTTAGAAAATGACTTCAGTAACTTTTGTATAGACCACAAGAAAATGGTGCTAGAGTCATGTACATAGACCACAAGAATGGCGCCGCTGCTATGTATAATCCAATAGAGTGCCATGCCGTCTTAT